TTCTTTGAGTATAGTTAATTTAATCTTGTTGGCTTTCTTCATGTGATCATGTTTCATTGTGGGTCGTGTACATGGATGTAGTTTGTTTTTCAACCGCTTGTAGGAAAACTCCGCTAAGCACAAAGATGTAGTCAATGTGTTTGACGAAATGCCTAAAACAACTGAGCAATATTTATTTGTTTTCTTATTTTTTTCTGTTCCCACAGATGTTCTTTCTTCATGTCCATTTCTCTGAGAAAGATTCTTCCATGTATCGCCTCCAACAATGGAGGCTAAAAGCAATATATTTGCCACCTCTACTGTTGTTGACACAAATCGACGGTGGTCGTCTATTGGCTGAAGCTCAGTACTACCACCTCTGCTCTCTATTGCCTCTCTTTAGATTTTGTGTTGCTATATGTTACTTGCTTATTTGATTAATGGAAATGTGATTTTCCCAATATCAGGCTAAGAATTACTAGGAATTTCACAAGAAGAGACATCATTCGATTGAGACTCCAGCGTTCTTGCCTTCTCTAGTGAGTGACAATTGGGTCTTTGTTGCGTTGTGGTGGGCAAAATATGCAACAAGGGAAAAACAGTTGCACTCCTGTTGCAGTGGCCCATATTGCTCCTGTTGCAGTGAAGAAATCAAAGATGCCAAAAACTTGCTCTCAAATATGATAGACGCAGGACCACCACCTGGCAATGCAGTCTTCAATACAATTATCAGTGCACTCTCTAACAGTGGAGAATTGGGAGAAACGAGTAAAATATTGAAGGTAATGGAGGATAGAGGTTTGAAACCTAATGTATACACTTACAGTGCAATTATGAGTGGTTACGCGAAGTGGGATCAGATGGAGGAGGCTTGTATGATTTTTGATGAAGCCAAAAAGAAGCCAACTCCTGTCACTTATCACACAATTATGCAAGCTCGAACAAATTGATAAGCCTATGAAACTATTAAGAGAGATGGAGCCTAATGCTGATGAATATAATAAACTTATTCAATCTCTATGCGTGAAGGTTTTAAATTGAACAATAGAGAAACTGCTAGAGGACGCGAATGAGAATGAGTTGCATCTAAATGCAATCACAAATGGTCTTTTAAGAGCAGTTATGGAGTTAGAACAAGAAGGAGCAGAAGATACGCGGATTTAGGATTTAATCTCTATGAGTTCAACATTTATGGTTATTAGAGCATTGAACACATAATATGTTTAAAGTTATGGGGTAAGATGAACCCGGTACACATAGTTGCATCCAACCCCCAACATGAAGTAATGACAACCGCATAGTAGGTACTGAACTCTTCCTTTAGCTGTAGGGATCTGTATCTTATGTTTCATTTCATGTTTAGATAGTTTTTTTATTTGGAAATAATTTAATCCAAGAAAGCCATCACCAAACAGAAATAGGACATCTTCAACACTCTGCAATGGCATTCTGAATAACAGCAGATGCCTTTGCGGAGTGTTGCAGATGTTCTATTTTTGTTCGATGATGGTTTCCTAGTATATACTTATTACATCCTGTCAAACTCCTTTCTGCTTATTTGTGTCCTTCAGTAGTGAAAACAAAGTCTTGTTTATAAAGAAAAGGCTAGAAATGCACAGGCAATTTGTCACGACCCAAAAACCCACCACAGGCGTCGTGATGGCACCTAGTCTCTAAGACTAGGTTAGCCGATTTTAATTACCTTTTGAATACATGGAATGATCACGAGGACCGAATAATCAAAACTGATAGTGGAACAAATATGAATATACAACCTCCCAAGACTGGTAGTACTGAGTCACGAACTCTAACTGAATACATGGAATGATCACGAGGACCGAATATACAATACTGTTTGATTACAAGTTAACAGTACAATGAAATAAAAAGACTCCAAGGGACTGCGATGACCCAGCAGCTCTACCTTGAATCCTTACAATCCCAATTTAACTCCGCTCAAGTCTGTTATCTTCAATACCTGGCTCTGCACAAAATGTGCAGAAGTGTACTATGAGTACGCCACGGTCGGTGCCCAGTAAGTATCAAGACTAACCTCAATGGAGTAGAGACGAGGTACAGTCAAGACACTCACTAGCCTAATAATTTGTGCAATATAATATACAAAATAATAGAAAACAAATAATAATAAGGGCAGGATAAAGCAACCAGTTATTTGCACAACAGACAACAAGAATACAATTAATATCACTCAACAATTAATAAACACAATTACATCCAATTAAATCAAGTCTTATAAATAAATGTCTTTCACATATAATTCTTCCAGATAACTCTCTTTTAATTATAATTTTCTGAAATAATTATTTTTCAAATATAATTCTTTCAATAAATCTTTTCAAATATAATTTCCTCGAATAAATATCCTTCAAATACAATTCTTTCATATAATGCTTTCTAAGTAAAAATCCTTCCAAATAAATATTTTGAATATAATTCTTTCAATTAAAAAGTCACCATAATCATAAAAATACGGGTCTCAGCCCATTTTCATATTTTTCGTAAACATGGGTCTCAGCCCATTTTCATATTTTCACGGCACCTCGTGCCCATAATTAAATCACCATATTTCCCCGGCACCTCGTGCCCTCATTTAATCTCACAACTGCATGGACAATTTGCGTGCTAAATATCATTACCACTTCATCACAGCACCTCGTGCCCATATTTCATATCACAACTGCACGGATAATTCACGTGCCAAATATCATCATTATTTACTCATGGCAACTCGTGCCCACATTTCACTTTATAATCCGCCTGGCAATAGCCATAGGTTCTCAATTTTAACATAACACAGATTGTTATCAATTTACTATCAACAAGACCAATTGCACAAGGCATAAAAATAAACACAAGAAAAATCACAACATTACATAAAAATCAGCAACACCACAACCCCACATCATCACATATCGTCCCTGACAATAGTCACCCTTATCGCTCCTATTGCCACCCTTATCACTCCTATAGCCACCCTTATCCCTCCACCCAGACAATATCAATACCCACCCTTATCGCTCCTATTGCCACCCTTATCGCTCCTATTGCCACCCTTATCGCTCCTATAACCACCCTTATCGCTCTGCCCAGATAATATTCCAACAAAATACAACAACAGTGAAATGCTACCCTTATAACCACATAATATCAACGGTGAAATGCCACCCTTATCTCCCCAAAATAACAACTCACACAACACAAGAATTTACACGGAAAATTATCATAACAACATAACAAAATCAGTTCATATCACAATTTGCCCAATGGCTACAACCAAATTCCAAAGCTACAACCAAGTCAATTAATTTCACAACAAATAGCCAAAAGCTCCACACAATGTGTACAACACCCAAAAATAATCAATAGAGATAGAAAGTACTCAACATAAAGAGAAGTCTTCATTAAATTTAAATTTTTAATAATTATATAAACACCTCTTCTTAAGCTCATTTAATTAATTATTTGCAGAGGAAAAATCCATAATGAAATTAAATTTCAATAATTATCAAACCAAAAAATTCAGGAATTACATAAATAATCAAGTAACAATCACATCAAATTGTCATATAACAATAAATTCAACAACAACAAGGATTTAGACGCGACAAATAGATGATTAAATATATACCAATAATTACCCAATTTACCACACAATATGCTCTAAACTTTAACTCAATAAAATTTATACATATAAGCCGAGTACGTACTCGTCACCTCACGTACACGGTTTTTTCACATTTTACAAATGGCACATAAGACTCGATGCCTAAGGGGTAATTCTCCCACTCGAGGTTAAGCAAGACACTTACCTCGTTTCGCAACCAATTTTAAGATTCCAATAAACCTTTTCCTCGTGAATTCGTGTCCTAAAATTCCAAATCTAGTCACAAACAATTCAATATACTCAACACGAATCGTAGGAATTAATTCCATATGAGAATACAAATTTTCCAACAAAATCCAAAATTTAACTCAAAAATCGCCCGTGGGACCCATGTCTCGGAATCCGACGACCACAAAATCCGATAACCCATTCAATTACGAGTTCACCCATACCAATTTTATCAAATTCCGATATCAGATTGACCTTTAAATCTTCATTTTATATTTTTGGAAGATTTTATAAAAATCTGATTTTACTTCCATAAATTCACGTATTCATGATGTAAATGAGTATGGAATCATGAAATATAATCAATATAGGATAAGGAATACTTACCCCAATGTTTACCCGTAAACATCGCCCAAACGGAGCTCCCCAACTATTTTTATGTCAAAAATGCCCAAAAAACCCGTTTATAGAGCCTATGGTATTTTCGAGCATCACAGGTAGCGTGGGGCGCTGCCTGTGGTGCTATTTCCAGTACCCTTAAATATCTCAGCGCCAGGGCTAGCGCCCCACGTTACCCTGGGCGCTCGCGGCGACGGGAAATCTCTTCCGATACGGAAATGGGCATAACTCTCTCATACGATGTCCGAATTCGACGATTCTTTTTGCTATGACTCCAAAATTTCAATACGGATCTAATGCTTTAATCAAAACTGAATTTGGAGCTCATTTTCCTAATGGGATACCACATAATCGATGTCGAAATATAACAAATCCAGTCCGATTGACCTCAAATTTCGCATACAAGTCATAATACATCATATGAAGCTATTCGAGACTTCAAATAGTAGAGAGGAGAGTAATTACTCAAAACGATAAGACAGGTCGTTACACAATTATGCTCCTTCAAGTTGGTACGTGAATTTGATTTTTAGGTGAAATTAGAGGGGGGAACATTTTTCACCCTATTTCTAATAGCATAAAATCTTGATTAAAATAAAAGCTCCTCTGCGAACGAAAGTTCTTTTTCATGATTGTTTGCTAACACTAAACAAAAACCAACAAAAAGATTAAAGGAGAAGTCAGAGCCTGCGACGTGCAAAATTTATGACAAACAAAAATTTCATATTTCCTTGGACATGGAAAGTAATTAATATCATCATAGTAGTAATTAACATAATGTTTCAAACCCACCAGGTCCTCCATATAATGCCATATGCTGATACTTTCCACCTCTCCAATGTGATACATCCATAACACCATACCGATCAGAATCATCAACATGTACAGTCGTTTTGTCTATATGTACTGTCTCACTTTTACCATTTAAAACATTAAGTCTCCTACAATAAGCATCGTAATTTGGATCTCCAATAGGAAAACAGCTGGAGCCCATTGGAGGTTCAGACATGCTTGGCGGACTGTATGCTACTCCTCCCCACTCAACACTAGTAGCAAAGCTTGCCAAGTTGCTGAAAAGCCTTTGAGGCCAAAAACCAACTTGTTCGTTGCTTTCACCAAACAAAAGCCACCAGTTTCCATTGGCTAGATCCTTTTCAGAAAGAAATGTCTAATATTACTAATTTGTACCTTTCAATTCTGATCAATGCAATTGTAAATACGAAAACCAACTCAAAACTTGAAAATAATTCTGCAAAAGAAGAAAAAACATACTCGTTCGATGAACATTGCAATCTCCAATACTCTTTTATCTCCACGTTGTGTAACTGGATCAAAGACCCCATCAACAGGGTACTTACTACTTACAATGACAAATTCAGGGCATAGCGTGTTGAAGTAAATGTAAAATATGCATTAACGCTTCTCAATCGAGGTATTACATATCTAGAAATATGAACTACTTTCATGATCACAAAACAAAAATCATTAAAGTACACAAATTACCTGAAAATGTACAAAAAATCTAGTCTTATTGTCCCCGTATAATGTTGGATCCACCTGAAAGATAAAATAGATTTATCATGGTTGAATGGGAGCTCATGTTATAGGTTCTAACTTACATCCTAAAGGTCAATAGTTAATCTCATCTCCTAGAAAATAAAAAGAAAACAAGCTATCACAAATAAACAAAAACAATTAAATTATAAATGAACAAGTTGTTAAACTTACTCTCCACCCAACTTGTAAATTGTCTGATCCTTTCTGGATTTTCAGCCGACATGCAGTGTGTTGTTGACTTTCAATACGAGGATTCCATAAACTAGCTGACATTCCAGCACCCGCAAACTTATTATTTGGGTTATTTGGAATTTGAACTATTGCGAGCTGAATATAAATGAAATTTTTTAATCAACTTACAAAACTGAAAAATGAGAAGATGATAAATATTCATATTTATTTACCTTGTATCCCTGTGAGGATATGGAAGTTCTCTTTGGCTCACTATTGTTGTTACTCTGCATTAAACCAACAGAATACATATGATATGCTACGATGAAGGAAGACTTAATTTTTTTTTTTACATGAACCCCTTTTTCTTGTTACAATTATATTGATGCTTAAACTATTAGATTCTAACAAATGAAATCAGTGATTCTTTTTGTCTGGAAATGAATTATCAAGATAGGCAATGATTTGGGTCACATTATCTTACATTACTCAATGGAGCTTCAAATGCGATAGCTTCTGGTGGCGGAATATGTCTTTGTCTAATAAGATCATCTTTGGTAATTCTTTTAATAGGAACAGTTCCGAAAGGACAACCTCTTTCCTTTAACCATATCCCTGATGACTCATTAGCTTCATGAGCTGCTGACGTATCTGAATTTTGTAATGTGCTAGCTAAAATAGGTTTTATCTGTCAATCAGAAACTTAAATATGTGTTATCAACAATTCTAAATTATTATTAAATAGTTGAAAGTAAAATGAAAAGAGTAAACATACCTTAGGATGAATATCGTGATTCTTTAACAACGGATGATCAAATGCAGGTTGTTAATAGAAATTCACGCAATCATATGTATCCCCACATTTTGTCTGTGACCCAAAACATCGTAAAATAAGTAATCTTCAGGTACAAAAATATGGAATTGAGGAATATGTATATTTTTTTCTACAAAAGTAATGTCGGCACACTAAGAAAATAATCACTCAAAACACTTGAGAATACATTGACTTTCAGCCAACATACATACCTTAATTGTTTTGACTGCTGGCTTGTTCAAAAGTTTAAGTTGCTTCTCCAACTCTGAATCCTCTAGTTTGGATAGCTTTTTTTCTCCTTGAACTCCGTTATAACTCAAAAGAAAATATAAAACACTAGCAGAGTTTGTTGAACTTGAACAATTCTTTGACGAATAAACATAGCCTGAGTCCGTTAAAATTATCTCTATGGGCATGAATGCTTAATATTTATAGATACCAAAACCTAGTAATATTTATGTAATGACCCAACCGGTCATTTTAACTTTTACCCCGTTCCCTAAAATAAAACTTTTCGTAGGTGCTTGTAATGATTTTATGACTTGCGGGGATGGTTGGTTCGGAATTTGGAAGTGTTTGAGGTGAAACCGGAATACTTGATTCCTTAAGTTGGCCTTAAAGTTCTAAGTTTGACTTCGGTCAACATTTTGAGAAAACGACCCCGGAATAGAATTTTGATGATTCTAACAGCTCCGAATGGTGATTTTGGACTTAGGAGCATGATCAGAATTATTTTTGGAAGTTCGTAGTGAAATTAGGCTTGAAATGGCTAAAATAGGAATTTAAAGTTTGAAAGTATGATCGGGGAGTTAACTTTTTGATACCGGAGTCGGAATTCAGTTCCGAAAATTTTCATAGCTCCGTTATGTAATTTATGACTTGTGTGTAAAATTTGAGGTCAATCGGAGTTGATTTGATAGGTTCCGACATTGAATGTAGAAGTTGAAAACTCTTAGTTTCATTAAGCTTGAATTGGGGTATGATTCATGGTTTTAGCGTTGTTTGATGTGATTTAGAGGTTCGACTAAGTTCGTATGATGTTTTAGGACTTGTTGGTATATTTGGTTGAGGTCCCGAGGGCCTCGGGTGAGTTTCGGATGGTTAACGGATCAAAAGTTGGACTTAAAAAGCTGCTGCAATTTTCTCTTCTGCTGCATATTCTGGGCTGTGATCGAGCCTCAGATCGAGCCCCAGATATCGAGCCCACGATCGAGGCCTGAGTCGAAGTCAGGGACGAGGCTCAGTATCGAAGCCTCGATCGAAGGCAAGGCTCGAGGGCATGATCGAGGGTAAGGCTCGAAGGCTCAAGCTCGATGCAATGATTGAGGCTATGATCGAAGGCCCAACCTCGATACCCTAATCGAGGCCATGACCGAGGTCCAGACTCGAGCCTGTGATCGAAGTCGCGATCGAAGGTAAGGCTCGATGGCATGATCGAAGGTATGGCTCGAGGGCTAGGATCGAGGCTCAACCCTCGATGCCCTGATTGAAGGCACATGTTCGATGTCGTGATCGAGGCCCTATTCGAGGCCCAGTTCCGAAGTGCTGGGCAGTGTTATAAAGAGAGGACATTCGTCCCATTTGGCATTTTTGACGAACTTGAGCATGAGCAGAGACGACTTTTGGTAGATTTTCAAGGGAAAAATATTGGGGTAAGTGATTCTAACTCGGATTTGATTAATATACAAGAATATATCATTGTTTTCACAATTTAATTAGTGTTTTGAGATTGAAATTTGGAAAAGTTTAGAAATCTCATAGAAATGAAATTTTGAGATTTCGGTATCGATTCGGAGTCGGATTTGAGTGAAACTGGTATGGTTGGACTCGTAATTGAATGGGTTGTCGGATTTCATAACTTTTGTCGGATTCCGAGATGTGGGCCCCGCGGGCGAATTTTTAATTAATTTCAGAATTTTTATTAAAAATATAGTATTTCCTTATAGAAGTTATTTCCTACAATTTTTAGCGATTGTACTGAATTATTTTGGCTAGATTCGAGCCAGACAGAGTTGGATAATCGTGGAAAAGGCAAAATCTTGGATTAAATTGGAGCAAGACGAGGTAAGTCTCTTGTCTAATCTTGTGAGGGGGAAATTACCTCATAGGTAATTAAGATTAAATAATTATTACTAATTGTGGGGGCTACGTACGCACGGGGTGATGAGAGTCCGTGCGTAGCTACTATTAATGCTAAAGTCCGGGTAGTTTAGGACTCAAAGCATGTATTACTTGGGTAAATTGTATTCTTTGATTAATTAATATTAATTGATATATATGAATATATATTGTGGATTGTTAGATAAAGATATTAAAGCCATATACTTGATTCTCTGTTTAAATTATTAATTGTTAAAAAAATTATTCTTCCTCCCAAACGTATCTCATAATAAATATACTCTCCTTCCGGAGGTACATAAAAATGTCCTACTTTCTTGTGGAGCGGGCCGAACGCCTCGGCAGGATAGATGCATCTATGGATCGCGCTGCACGTCCCTCGACAGTGTACACGACACTCTG